TGCCACTATGTGGAGCTTTAAACTTAAAGCCATGTTTTTTGGCATCCTTACATACAGTTACTCTAATTGGCATAATAGCCACATCAATTGCTAATTCTTGCTATCTAGCCAGTCAGCAAGCATTTCATCCTCCCACTGCATTTGCCAGGTAAATACTTTGTATTAGCTGGGTGGCACATAAGATGCTACTTTGTGATTGCTGTCCCCCGCACCTCCAAAGTCTGTGAGAAGTAAGGATATAACCAGAGCACATGTCATCAGATAGAAGGAGGGCAAGGAAATAAGGTAATAGAAAAGTGAAAGGGTCGGGAACCTTGCTGTAGGTAGTTGGAGGTGTTTACATGAGAGGAGTGGGAATGAGGATTGGGGAGACAGGACATGAGGTGTTAGTGTGGATAGCAGTGCAGGTCTGGTCATAATTCAGCTTCCCATGAAGGTGTTTCATGTGTGTTGATATACGCCCATAGCTGCTCAGTGCAGATTATCTCCTTGCAGCATAAGGGAGGTGATGAGAAGTGGCATAGCATAATCACTGAAGATCTGGCGTTCCACAGGAGATGCTGATCAGCGCACAGAACTTTCAGGACTTTCAGTTTGGTAGACCAGTGGACTTTTAGGTGTCACTGACGTGATAGGGGAGTGCAGCATGGGGTTATGCAAGTAGGTTGTCAATAGAGGGAAAAGGATGAGGAAATTAGTTGGTACAAAGTTTAGGAGTCTAGGATTTTGCAGCGTGCAGGGGTGAATATGAGCCACTAATGCTAAGTTAAAGCAATTTGAATTGTGTCCTCTGGACATAATGGCTGAGATCCCTGAAGTACTGAGCATCCTCTTCTGAAGTGCAGAGTTTCATCAAAGCTCTGCTGACTTCTTTGGGAACTGAGGGCAGCAAAATGCTTCTTAAGCACCCCAGTTTATTGGACTGTTGTGCCTTTGTCAAAGCTTTTAAAGACATGATAATATATTAGTGAAAACATACAGTGAAATTACTTTGTTACTTTATTTTTGTTATTGTTTGATTCCTTTTCAGTGGAGAAGTATTATACTTGCTGAGACTGATTTTTAACTTGCTTACACTAACACAAATCGAATGAGAGTTATGCCTGTGGAAGTAATTAATTTTCTCTGTGAGTAAGCAAATGTCATAATTGCAATCCTTATTTTTTATAAAATCTATCTGGCATGAAATAAAGGTTGAGTTCCTTTGTTATTTTTTCTTCCTGTAGCATTTGAAAAAAAATTAAATTGCTTATGTATTTTAAGCTTGTGTTCATAATTGCTTCAGATACTCTCCTTTTTGCAGCAGAAGTTTCAATATAGCCAGCAGCATACACACGAACCTGGAAACCTAACCTTCCTGCATAGTCAAATACCTTTACTGGATAGCTCAGAGCCCTTATTTTGGGTAGTAGTTAGATTTCTCACTTCTGCATCCAAATCACTTTCTGAACTTCTTGTCTGAAAAAGAGCACTGTCTGATTTCCCTGACAGACAGGGAGTTAAGTACTTAAAAAAATAGTGGTGGTGCGGGTAACATAACCAAATAGCTAATCTTTGCTTTTTCAATTTCTGTTTGTATAACTGGAATTGAGACCAGGAATTTTGTTGTATCATTTTATACCTTAACTTAGTAATCTAATGGATTTTAGGCTTAAACAGAAAAAAAAATAAATATATCAATATAGAGGCATTATTTAATCTGTATTGGCACCTAGAGGGCTGTGGCCTAGTATGTAATAGAGTGTATTAGTATACAACACAACCAGTGTTTGCTGTAAAGAGTTGATATTCCAGTATATATACCAGGGAAAATAAAGTGAATGCTGGAAACTGGTGGAGAATTACAAATTGGAAGCAAAATTAGGATGACCTAAATAAAAAAAAATCCTAAATATGGTTTTTGTTTTAGTTATCTCCTTTTTTAAATGACATTTTCAATCATCTGTCACAAATACAGGAACGTTACAATTTAATATCTAAAAATAATGAAAACGTTGCCATTCATTTCAGGAAGAGCAGGATTTTACTCCTGTTTTAAGCAAAACACATACAGTTGTATTTCTGTTCTGTTAAAACTGAGTTTTGGTAGGAATATAATGTTTTCTGTGACATCTTAGTATAAAACAGATGGTGCATATTGTCTATTTTTTTAATACATGTATTTTTTTAGAACATGTCCTATATGTTAATAGATGAAATATTCACCCTGGCAGGTGTTTTATTTGAAAGGATATTAGTAGAGTATTCCTATACTGAAACAGTTTAATCATCAATTAAAACACACAATCTGATGTTTCTAAAATAGAGGTTTCGAAAAGGATATTTTTATTATCTCAGAAGTAGACAAACATATAACACATTAATCCAGCAAATCCAAGATTTATTTAAAAAAAAAAGAATCATAATTTGTAGGTTGTTTTTACAGCCAAGTACAGAAACGTTTCTGGACAAGGTGGGAGCGGATGAATATGGGGGAGGAGATCATTCTTTAGGTTTCCTCTGACTAGACAGATAATTTTGTTGAACAACAAGAGCTGTTAGTGGTGAACAAAATGAAGTTTTGTGATGTCAAATGAGAAAAGTGCTAGTTTCTTAGTGAGAAAATATTTCTTATTGCATACAGAACATTTCTTTCTTAATTCTGTGGCTGCATTAAACCATTATTTTATTTTACTACACCAATCCTTTAGAGTAATCCTGGCCATATTACAGATTTTCATGTGTTGCATGTGTAGCTATGATATTACATGTTCTACAATGTTACCCTAAAATACTTATTCTAGTTACTTCTGCAATCACATGTATGGTTATGAGAGTGTATTTTCATACCTTCTTAGGTTCTTCTCTTAAACTTGCATAAGCACTTATGCCTAACTTGGTCAAAACTGCGCACATTAATTATGAAACCAAGCAGGATCTGGCAAATCACAGTTGTCAAAATCTCACAAAGAAGCTAGTAGTATGTCTTAAATCAGTGGAGTCACGTAAATGTTTTCTATAGCACATGGCACAAAACCATAATGAAAGCTGTGCCATGCAATAAAAGATTTGCAGTTTCATTGAGTGACGCTGTTTTTATACAACTTCACATTTTTGGGGCATTAATTAAAAAAAAAACACAAAACAAAACAAAAAACCCCCAGCAAACCAAACCAAACAAAAAAAAACCTCCGCTTAAATATATGTATTTAACAAAAACCTGAACATTGCTTATATTTAATAAGTAGTTAATACATTTTGTATCTAGATCCCAAATAGCAAATCTAATGTAAGACTGGTTTCCTTCTTTTTCTAATAGGAAAACTAAAAAAGGGCACCTCAGAATTGCCAGATACTTTGAACTACATTTTAAAATGACCGTGAGGTGTCCTAACTTAAAAACGAGTGTGTCTATAAATAGATGTAAGAAAGATTTCACTGTGTGTATATATACAGAACTATGTATGTAAATATATACACATATTTAGATTTGTTGTTTTGTAGGATTAATTAGTATATGGGTGGGCTAAATATTTTTTCAATACCATACTTTTATGTTACCTTTAATGTAAGTCAGCACCTAATAATTTTTTATTTATTCCATAGAGCATCTTTTGTTTTGATGTTAGTGAAAGTAAATGAAATTCTAAAGCAATGAAAAATTCTATATATGCTGTAAAACAATTCAATGCAAAATACAATATCTTATGTTACGATTTTTAATGTACATACTGTATAAATGGAAAACATAAATGCTTCTCAACTTTATAGTATGCTGGATTTTCAAAGATTGATTTTGATGCTGTCATAACAACTGGAAATATCTAAAATGGGTAAGGCTAGAAAGAGCTTATTTATAGGGCATGAATTTTTATTCATGATTAGCTTGACTTTATAATGAGGCAGTAAAATGAGAATGTTGCTAATAAAATTTGAATTGTATTTTGTATTGACTTGTTGCTGAGATTTTAGATAGCAATTTGGTGAAAGGATTAACACATTGAAAAGTGTTACCCCTACATATATGCTTCACAAAACCTGGATGAATGGATATCAGTAAGCTACTAAAAATTTATTTTTATAAGGTAAAACATCATATTAATTCAATATCATTAAAGCTGAGACACATTTTTAAAATGTATAATGAAAACAAAAGCTATAAAAAACGTAGAAATATTGAATTTTTATCTTGGGTGTCATTCTTCACTAGTAGCACTAAGTCAATAAGGAATAAATGAGTTTGAAACTTGCTTACACAGGTGGAAACGTAGAATTTATAGGCAAATACCCTTAATTTGAAGACATTTTTATAAACTTTTAAAGATGTTTAAATGCCATGTTTTATTCTTTCAAAATCTTCAGCATTTAGATACTCTCTCCTGCTACACTTCATTTCCATAGGCTAAATAATACTGCAGTGTAACACATAATGAATTTCTGTATACTGATGTGGATGACAGGTTGAACAATCAAGATCATGTCCTGTTCAAGACCAGCTATTTTATCTGTCCATGCTATACAATATTTTCTTTAGCTAAGTGTTTTTTTTTTTAATTAATGTTACTATAGATGTTGTAAGGGAAATTAAAGAATTTCAGATGCATTTTGTCTTAAGAAGTTTGTTTGCTACGGTGGCCCAGACAGAGAAGAATCAGATGAAAACACTCCCTTTGGTACAATCTAAGACAATCTTTCCATACGATCATAATACCTGCATTTGCTTAATCTATTGGTCTGAAATGTACTATGCTGAAAGAAGTATATACTGTGGGAGAATGATAAATAAGATTTTCCTGTTATTTTATCTTTAATTCTCTGTATTGTACATTTGAAACAGATGCAGAGCATTAAGAAGTGTGATGAGCTGTATTTCTTTTTAATATCTTTTTTTAATCTTTTCTTTTAAAAACATGGTAACTAACTTACTTCATTCTTTTCCTTCCTTTTATAGGGTAGCAAAATATTATAGTGTTTATGCACAAAGCAGAAGTATTATTTATATATATTTTTTTTAATTACAG